CTATAGAATTGAAAAAAAAAATGTATATATTTCAACAAAATTAATTAATTTTGATAACTTTATATAAAATTTTGAAAATGAGAAATTAAAAATCGCATTCTATCTAGGAATATGTAGTGTTGATGTAAATACTAAAATACTTAATAATGAGTCAACAATACAATGTTCACTGGGATACTGATTACACTGGCATCAGTGTAAAATGAAACGCTAACATCCGTGTGTACTGCAACATTGAGATACAAACTCTATTGAAATATGCTGCTCTTTTTAGTAGCGGTATATTCCATTGCTTCAGTGAATACTGATCCCAGTGTGTCAACAACGCACTAACAACATTAAGCCGATGGTCAGTAAATTGAAACTGCATATTCTTAATCCTATCCCATATCAAATTCTAGTTAATGATGGATAATTAAAAGATAGGTGAGTTTTTTTTTTCAACATTGACTCTTATATCTATCTAGTTTTTGTGACTGTTAGTGTTGAGTCAAACAAAATTAATGTGTAAATTGATTTTTAGTATTAAAAAAGTGTGTGAATTTTAAAATATGTCCCGCCAAAAAAAAAAAAAATAAACAAGCTTTTTATACTTGATCAGATTTTGGATTTTGTATTATACGTTTCATTGCTAAGAGATATTCATCTAGAAGAAATTTAAAACAAAATCTTTGATGAAATTAATTCATTTGTTTTTTTTTTAATCGAACCTCCATCTTTAACTTTTTGTTGTCCTAAAGTTTTTTCTTCATCAACCATTCGTTTTGATGAAATTGATATTAAATTATAATTATCAATTTCATCGAATGATGAATTATGTCGACTAGTTGCAATCGTATTGAATGATGATCGACGATAATTCGATAAATTACTATTACTATTATTATTATTATTATTATTATTATTGTTGTTGTTATTATTATTATTATTATTTGTTAAAAATTGTTTAACAGCTGAATATTTCACATCAGCAAATGTTGTTTTTTCTAAAGGAAATGTTTCTTCAAATATTGAGCCTGTTTTGTACCAAATTTTTAATGTAACATGATGTAAATGATCATTAAACATTGTACTAGTCGCTCCTCGCATTTTTTAATTTTATATATATAAATAAAAAAGAAGAGAAAATCTAGAAAAAAAAAAAAAGATTTCTTTCATTGTTCATCTGGTGTGTTAAAAAAATTTTAATACAACAGAATACATAAACACACAAATGATTTTCTTTTTCTCTCATTTCGGCATGTATATATATATATATATATATATATGTATATCTGTTAGGTGAGAAGAGAGAGAGAGAGACACAGTATAGACAGTGCACAGACACAAATACAAACAAATATTTTTAATCAATTCAAGAGACGTTAAATGTTTCATTTTAGTTTTTTTTTTTTTGTTTTATTTTCGAAATACATATCAGTGTTGTAAGAAATGAACTAGAAGACGCATTTAAGAACAATGTATACAAGTTAAACAATAGACACACACAAAATGTACATAGAAAAAAAAACTACAGTAATCAATTACATCTGGTAGAGAAGAAAGCAAACTATGTAAAAAAAAAAAAAAAAAGACGAAAAGAAGTTTGATTTTCTTTTGTTTTGTTCTTTGTGTTATTCAAGGATTAATTTAGATTAAGATATTGACCATTTTCTTTTAGCCAATCAACTGCACAGGCTTTAACGTGTGCAGTTATACCTTGACATTTGAGAGATTTCCGACATTGAACATTAGGCTAAAATAAATTATTTAAATATTATTTGAATTTAACCAAAAACAAAAACAAAAAAAAAACATGATTATTTCTTACACATTCATATTCTCCTTCAGCATTTTTCATTAATAAAGTAACAATTTTATTTTTTCCACTTCGTCGTTTTTTAACAACATTTGCAGATGATGCAAGTTGTTGAGATGATCGTTCATGATGATGTGAATTTGTTTGATGATGTGTTGTATGTCCACTATGTGTATGATGTGGTTGATGATGTGATGGAAGTTTATTTGTACCACTACTACCATTTTGTTGATTAGTTATAGTATGATGTGTACCTGTTATATGATGATTTGTTGCACCAGCAGCAAGTGCAGCAGCAGCAACAGCAGCTGTTGATGCAACTGTAGCTTGTTGTTGTGTTGTTTGACTAATATAACCACATTGATGTTGTATCAATGCAGCTTGAGACATTGAAATTTTACCAACAGTTGCCCATCGTTCTAATAATTCACATAATGTACGTTGTTTTTCATCAAGTACTTGAGCCGTTGTTGATGATGGTTGTTGTTGAGATGTTGTTAATAATGCACGAATATTTGCTTTAACAATATTTGTTTCTATTTACATAGACAAAAAAAAAAACAACAACAACAATATAAAATGACGAATGTTATATTTTTCGTTTTTTTTTTTTTTTTGAATTTTACCATTAATTAATTGTTCAATTTCATATCGTAGTAAATTTTCATGTTCATGTATATGATCAATACATAATAATAAATGACAATGTGGACCTAAGATTTCAATGAAATAAATAATCAAAAATAAAAAAAAAAAAGAAAATCTTACAAGAAACATAAAGATTTCTTGAACATGTTAATAAACCATTTTCATTTCGATGTTGACATTTAACTGATATTGTTTGACATATACCAGAAAAATAAAGTGATGATGCTTGATCATCAGCTGCTTGTTGTGTTGCAGCTATATGTGTACCGGCTGCCATTTTATTTGAAAATCCAAAAGAGTACGTTTTTAATGTTTTCTTTTATGTTAGGAATAAAGATGGATAATTATACACACACACACACACATACACACACACACACAAAATAAAACTTGTTAAATAAATAATTAAATTTTAGATAATTTCTTTTTAATTTAATATTAAATAAGAAATATGAATATTTGAATAAGACAAAATAGATATAAGAGAATATAAATAATGATTTCAATAAATTTCGAGATTGATAGCTATTTGACAAAAGATATTCCAGTTGATCCAATTTCAATATCCAGATTTTATTTATGAAGTGTTTGGTATCATCGACCATAATGAATTATTTTTCATATTTGTCATTTATAGAGGTCTTTAAACATCTATGCATTAAAAGGCTACTAGTGACATCATTCGATGAATAATCAATTGAAAAATAGTGAAGCTATAAATTTGAAAAGAAGAAGTTATCGTTTGATAGAATTGATCAACGAAAAAAAAAAAAAGCATCGATTTAATTTTTTACTAACATATAAAATTCAATGAAGTGGACTAACCAAATGTCATCCGATGGAAAATTAAACATTTTTATCTATTGTCTGTTTTTTTTCTTTTTTTTTTTTGTTGCTGATATCTATTGTAAATAAGTAGAAGGCCTACTAAAAAAAGAAAAAAGAAAAAAGTATAAAGACGATTTAAAGTGAAGAAATAATTCATTAAGGATGTGAAAATTTGTGATCATTTTTCGAATAAGTTTGTACAGAAATAAAATAAAAATCTACAAATTTCATTATTGATAGAAAGGTTAAAGGAAAAACTTGAAATCTTTATTTTATTCTTGATGATCTTGATTTTATAGAAAAAAAAAACAATTCCATAATTTGTATTATTGAATTTGACTATCAAGTATGAATTTAATGTCTGAACCAATTTTCCTTCATGATGAACTATTGATATTAGCTTAATTTTCTTGTAATTTCAATCTCGTTTCGGAACTATAGTTAAGATCAAGAAAAAGTAGTTTTTTATTTATTCTTTCAAAACGTAAGAATCAAAAAATGTATCTAACTTTGATTGATTATTGGGATTCCTGATATATGAGAATCATATACATATGGAGGATAACATTCGGAATAGAGCAAATAATTTTTTTCTGCGTGAATAGTTTTAGTACTGTTTGGCAAACACGCAGTGGTTAGAAATGTGTAGGATCAAGTTTTTGGTTCCGGTCTCAGTTAGGTGTCGATAAATTTTTTAATCTATCTGTTCTGGTCATAGTCCCGGTAAGAGTGCTGCAGTCTTGAACCTGGCCTAGAGAAAATTATTCTAGAAATTTATTCGTATCACATCTAAAATAATTCTCTGATACTCGTTTTGTTTCTATTTATTTAGTCAACAACTAGAGTTTTTTGGATCATTCCTTTTAAGTTGTGTTCTGTATTCATATTATTTATAAGATAATTTTCTTAAAACCATAGAATACTATACTATAAACTTGAGTTTCGGTCCCGACAGTTTGTTTTCTCGTAGATCTACTTCTCGTCTCAAGCTTCTCTTTTTGGTAGTTCCGATTCCGATAAAGTTTTATTCTTTGACTCGATTCTACACATCTCTAACTGCGGTGCTCAAAAACAATCATACAGCTAATCGATCACCTTATTTTTCTAATATCTCAAGATGTTTTTGAACATATGAAAAAGAAGTTTCACTTTGCAAATTCTTGTTTAAAAGGATAAAATACGAGAGTTTTAATCGTAATATGTCTTTATATTTTTGCATCTGGTGTATAATCAATGTTGAGTACCATAGTATAGTATTCTACCGCGAATATTCAATGTACAGGATGTGTTAAATGATTCAAATCCCAGTTAGTTATGGACACTCAGTTGAGTGCTTAGTTATTAGCTTGTTCATTCAAAAGATACACTTGTACTGTAAATATTACTGCCCAGTATTTGATTGAATACTTGGTATTCTATTCAGGACTTTGAATTTAAGATCAGGTCACAAGATTCAACTTCGAATCTGTTACAATTTTAAGCTGATATTCATGCAGTATTTGAATCGAAAATAAATACATATGAAATATCTATACTCTAAATTGAATTATTACTTTTTTTTCTTGCATTTTTATAGACATTCTTTATGTATCATCTCAAAGATTACATTTTAAAGAAATAGAAATAAAACACAATGAAATTTCTGATATTTACTATCTTTCTCATCGTTATATTGTTTTTCAATTATTCAATTGAAAGACCAATTTATGATGTAGACGATAGAAAAATGGTATTTGATTCTGAAAGAGCTATCGCATGTAAATATACATCTAAATGTTTTTCTTCTAAAAAGATTTCAAAATATCTTATAATTGTTTACATGTCTTTAGTTAAGGCGGCAACTGATGGATCAATAGTTGCTGAAAATACAACAGATTCACGTCCACCACCACCAGTAAAAACCACAACAACTATAAATCGTGTTTCTCTTACTGTTCAAATTGCAGTTCCAGTAGCTATAGCTGGTGGAACACTATTGATTGGTTTTGGTCTAATTATTTATGCTGTTATATCAGGTGGGCATGGTATATTTTTCTTAACACGAACACGATGAACGTTTACTTTTTTTTAAAACAAATATCTAATCATAAACTATAGCGTTTGTATTTATCAGAAGGGTTGACCTATCATATTTATTTGAATGTATGCATATTTAAACTTATGTGTTTTGTTGGTTCATTCAAAATCAGTATACAAAAGAAAAAAAAGTAGAAGGTTCAACAAAATACACACAAACAAATGCTGCTGATATTTTGTTTGGTTATGATTGTTGAGCACTCATGTGTATAAAGGGTTTGAAAAAAAAAAAAAAAGAAAGAAAAGGAATTTAGACGAAAAGCAATGAAATTTTATATGATCCGATCTCCGATCGTTTGATGTCACCAGTAATCGATAGATACAAATGAATTGAAAAGTAAATTATTTTCTTATAGATAATGTTTGAAAAGAATTTTTATTTGAAAAGACGAGCACGCATTTGTTTGATACCATCTAATTTACGTTTCATATTATTTAATTCATAACGATTTTTTAACTAAGAAATATAAAGAATAAAGAATTTTATTTGATAAAAATAAAAAAATAAAACATACTGCATCAGCTTCCATTTGATAAAAACGTTGTGCAACACCATCCGAATTAAGAAGCGATTCACGAGATATATCACTTCGTTCGCGAATATCATAAATTTTATCGGCACATTCATCATTAATACGTAAAAATTCTCTACAAGAAATTATAGAAAATTATTTTTGTTTTTAAAAGAAAGAAATAACAAAATTTCAGCTTACTTTCCAGCTTCGGCTTGATCCTCACATCGCCATGTTGATGGTTTATGATCAACTTGTTTACCTAATGATTTATATTGTGAACCTACTTCATTGACATGATTTTTTTCAAGCCATGCATACTAGAATAGTAAATATTAATATAAGAATTTTTTTTTTTTGTTTAAAAGGAAAAAACAAAACTTACTTTATTTTGATAACGATCTTTAAATTCTGCACGGTCACTACCAGAAAATGGAGTTAAACTAGTATCCAAAGAATGTGACGGAGATGTATAATTTGAATTACGAAGGGATGTTGATGATAAATTATATGAATCGTAAGATGAACGCATCTTTTCTATTATTTTTTTTATGCTTTTGTAAAGATATATCTATATAAATTGTATAAACAATATTGTTTTAACAGATACGTAATAGAATCCAAAAAAAGAAAAAATAAGAAGGATACAAAGCTAATGAACATGATTGATTGATTGATTGAGCGATAGCAGCTGCTATAGTATCATTACATATCCACATGCATAAAAAAGATCGCTTTTATATAAAAAATTTCGAAAGATAAAAGTTAATCGATGTATTATTTAAAAAAACAAATCTTCCTCATAAGAAAAGAATTTTTAGTTTTAATATTAAATCGACCTTCACTTACATCCAATTGTTATTTTGAAGATATCTTTCTCTCTTCTTATCTTGTTGGATACCAGCAGCACAAGCACGAAGTTGTCGAACGAAGTCTGTTATGTTGTTTTGGGAATTGTAGTTCTTTCTTTTTCTTTTTCTCTCTCTCCCTCTCTCTCTCTCTTTCTTTTTAGTTCTTAATATCGTCACAAGAAGAAAAAAAAGGATAGACAAGCTCGATTATCATAAAGATCACGTACAAAAAGATATATAGAAAGAAAAAAAGCAGTAATATTCTATGTGATCTTTTCCGACATGCATATTGAGAATAACAAGCAAACGACAACAACGAGAAGAAGGATATTCTATGTCTATATGTATTTCTAGTCCTAAAAATAAGATGACGATTTTTTTCTCGTTTTTTTTTTCTTTTTCTTGCTTAGTTGTATTAATATCCATCGATGATGATTGGGAAACCAGTTGCTATATATGCTTGCCTCATGGCCAGATAAATGACGAGTCGATAAAAATAACACAGACAAGAATAGGAGAAAAAAAAGAGAATAGTATATTTCGATGTACTAAAGGATTCTTTTAGTAGTTAACAATGATGTTTTTGTTAGAATAGGAAGTAAACACAAGATCTTGTAGCAGAAAATTTCTATATTGAAAGTTTAGAATTGTATGTTGACTGAATAGATTCATTTAATTTTATTATGTAATATTGATTTTTGTACAATGAAATAGATTGTGATTGTGATATTGATATTCGATCTGTTTCTTTTTCGCCTGCTGATGTTAGCCGGATGTCATCAAGGACTTTTCTTTTATCTTTCCAACAAGTGGAAGCATCAGTGAGAGCGTAGGTGGATGTCTACATTTCCAGACAGTAGCATTGAATCAATAAAGTCATACTTGAACAGATAGAATTCCAACTGTGTTACAATGTTATGTTGTTCTTATTATTATCATCAATGAACTGCGATTCTGTTGCATAATAACATTTAGCTGTGCTTTTCAGTTATTGGAAATTTTCCTTTATTCATTTATTCTATAATAATACAAATTATATAAAGTTATTTATTTTTCAATTTTTTTTTCTAATGTTTATTTTATTAGATTTACAAGATGTTCTGATATTTTGTTTTCATTTATAATGAACTTTGAGATTAGCTAAAATAAACAATTGCTAAAATATGATGATCATTTATTTTTCTTTTTTTTTTCTGCACTGTCTATCAATCGAAACTATTTGGAGAAATGATTTGAGTGTTAAATATTGATAACACATGATTTAGATATCTTTACTGCAATGTAAATCTTTGATATTCTCAGTTAATTGATTCGCATTTATACAAATCGTTCATTATCGATATGTATCTTCAAAGTCATTTCAGGCATTCATATTTAAGATCAATAGGAACCCATCAAATAAATCTTTTGCTGATATACATTCTTTTGTAACATCAAATCATGTATATATCATATCGCTTTTCATCATCGATTCATATTTTCCAAAGAAAATGATATATTCTTTAAATCTATTAAATTGATCTATGATAATGTTGTTGTAATTTAAATAGATGTTAGTTTCTAGATTTTTATAGATTTAAATAGATATTGGACTTCTCTTTTTATTAAGACTAATACTTAGTCAAAAACATATATTGCCGAAATTTTGTAAAGACTTTCATTTTTAAAAATCGACATATCAAATTGAAAATTAGTTTATTAATACAACTATATTGAATGTATTTCTGTGTACATTGGTCATCTGATAATAGTTTTGATTGTCTAGTAAATTGAAAGGCAATCGTCGATTCATCAATTGTTTTTAGTAACCAAAAAGACGAATGAAAGAACTAGTCAAATTGAGCGTGAATGAGTTTCTTTTTGTTGTTAAACCTATCATTATTATATGATCTATCATTAATTACATCAATAGTATCTAATTTTCAGTTTATTTTTTCAAAGCCAAATTTATAATCACCTACGAGCTATATAATGATGACAATCATAAATCAATCCTGTATTTATTCATAATCGTCATTAAGGCGCTGTTGTAGAACATACAGAAAGTCATTATTGTATGTGTTACTTTCCATTGATAATGGATGGAATGTTTTCAGTTAAGATTATTTTTGCAGAAAAGGTATTTATGTCTGATGTTATTTATAACTTAGACAGTGATTCATAGATTATATTATAAATATTAAAGTAGACTACATGTTCATCGTCCAATTTCAAGCTTTATAAAAAAGAAAAAAGATTTAGTATAATCAAAAGAGTAGCATAATTTGCATTAATGAGAAACGCTGGCAAGTAATAAATCATTCCGAAGAAGAGTCTTAAACTCATTAGATAGATCCTATTGGAACTAGAGAAAATCTGAAAAGAGTCGTACCAATGGGTCTTTCTTCTTAAGCTATGAATTTTTTTAGTGAGTTTCTCAACTAAATTTCTTAGATTCTTATTTTCCTGAGATTGTTTCAAAATCGATTTTTGAGTTTCACGTTCAAGCTTTGCACAACTAGAGTTCTAACTGGTGATGAATGTATTGTGAAATTATTCGATGCTTTTTTAGCATTTTCTGTCGTGAGACATAACTATAAGAACAAGATTTGCTTCTTTGTATAATAGAATTTCGAATATTAGTATCTAAAGTAAGGCGATACTAAAAAATCTAACACTTTCACAATAAACTAGTTCCATTCAGTATGTTATTTGTGCAAAGTTTAAAACTCCATAGTTAATTTTGAAAGCAACTTGAAGGTGACTCACGATATTTTGTTAACAAGTTCACTAAAATAGCCATACCCCAAGAAGAAAAATCTATGCCGGTAAATCTTTTTAGACTTTCTCTAATTTTCATAAGACCTCACTCGATATAGTTTTTTGTTCTGATTCCAAATATATCTTTATTTTTCTCTCAAAGCATTTCAGTGACAAAGAAATCACGAAAAAACTTTAAAAGTCAAGGTTTTTAGAACACTTTTATCTCAGTCCAGAAGCATTTGCGCTAACTAATTGTATGTTTCAGATATCGAAGAACATTCTTTGAAGGTTTTGTTCATATTGGAATAGTGAAATAAAATGACGGGCAATTTTACAGAAAGACGTCTTTTCGGAAAACATTTAGCATGAAAAGAATAATTATTTTTTTCAGAACGAAAACTTTTCTTATATATCGATAGAACAGAAGTTCTAGTTTCAGACTATTTATGATTTATTACTCAAATGTTTTTATTTTTCACAAAAAAATTATCTTTTTCTCTAAAGACACTGAATTTGCGACTAAGTTTTTCCAAAGAATTTAGCAGCTGGAACAAAATTTGTTTTTTCTACTGAAAAACTGGCCGTTAATCAAAATATATAAGTTACTTTTCAAATCCCGAAAAAAGTTCACTTTCATTATTTCATCTAATGTTAAACATTGTTGCCCACTGTGTAATGAATTAAGATTGATCTCAACAGCAATTTATCACTTGGTGAAGTTTTGTCGTAAGTTTATAGATTTAATCTTTCATTTAAATCAATATATAAATAAAAGTTTGGTTTATTAATGGCTAATGAGTTTATTTTTCTTTTTTCTAACAACATACAGTAAACGTTCACAAAACAACATAGATTATTTATACTTGTAGAATGCATTTATTTAAATTTGATTTTTAAGTAAATCAGAAAATTTTGCCATAAATTTATCAACTTTACTTTTAACAATAGTTGAACAATAACCTTGATTTGGATGTGTATTAAAATAATTTTGATGATATTCTTCAGCTGAATAAAATGGATGATTTTCAATTGGTAAAATTTCTGTTACAATTGGATCTTTATAAACATTTTCATCAATTAAATGTGCTTTAAACATTTCAGCTTCTTTTTGTTGTACTGAATCATGATAAAATATAACAGAACGATATTGAGTACCAATATCAGCACCTTGTCTAAAATCCACAAAAAAAATCCTAATTCATCCAAAAACAAAAGATGCTTGTGTTTTTACCGATCTTTTGTTGTTGGATCATGAATATGAAAAAAAACATTTAATAATTGTTTATAAGCTACTGTTTGTGGATCAAATGTAATTTGAACAACTTCAGCATGATTAGTAGATCCAGTACATATTTCTTCATAGGATGGATTTGTTTTATTACCACCAGCATAACCAGAAACAACTTTTTCAACACCTAGAATACTCAAATAAATAATTTCATTTTTTATAAAAATTTCTTTTTCTAACCTTTAAGACGTTGAAAAACGGCTTCAAGACACCAAAAACAACCTCCACCGAATGTAGCTAAATGTTTCGTAACTGACATTATCTAAAAAACAATAAAATAAAAATTTCCCCTAAAATATTTTTTGATACATAAAAGTTGAACACATAGAAAAATATGATTGGTTGTTTTTTATTATTATTATTAATTTACATAAACATTGATAAACAAGGATCTTTTGAAATCCATCCTGTTGAATAATAAAGTTCAAAACCATGAAACATTTGATATTTACATTGTTGATATATAACTGATGACTTTTTAATTTGGTCATAAGTTTTATTATTAGTTGAATAGATGTTTTTATATAATTGAAATATTTCAGATTTACATAAACGAGATGGTTCATTATTTGGTCTAATGAAGAAAAATTTTCAAAAAAAATAAAATAAAAACAAATATTTATTTTAACTATAGAGTGACTCTACCATATGTGACATATTTACATCGAGTTCTTCCAAAGAGTATAGAGCATGCTCGATTTACTTACTATGATAACAAAAGATTCACTATAAATTCTCAAATTGAAGAGATTAGCAATTCACAAAAGTAAAGTAAAATATAGCTAAAATATTATATAAAACCACCGCAAAAAAGACTAAAATATCCATCATCATATATCTCTGACGCAGAATTTCGACGCATAGTAACATAGAAGATTTTGTAAAGCAAAATTCGCTTTACACGCCTATCGTGAATATCAAACGGGTGGTTGTTTTAACGTGAAAATATTATCATAAATAATTAAATTATAAGTATCTATGCTATTATATGATAATATTTTCACTCTAAAATGACCACCTGTTTAGTATTCGCATGAAAAGCGTTATATATAGGTGTATAGAGCGAATTTCGCTTTACAAAACCTGCTATGTCACTATGAGTCAAAATTCTGCATTAAATATATATGATGATGGATATTTTAGTCATTTTTTTGCAGTATTTTTATATAGTATTTGCTATATTTTACTTTAATATTTAAGAATTTATAGCGAATCTTTTGTTATCATAGTAAGTAAATCGTTTATGCTCTACATGATTTGAGAATGTGAAAATCGATTTGAAAGAATTCTATATCAACATGTCATATATACCGTAGAATCACTCTATATTCTTCTTACTTTCGTTTTCCTACTGATGGTTCAATTAATTCAATAGTTTTATCATTAATATTCCAATTAAGACTATCATATGAATTATTATTATTATTACGATGATTTTCTTCTTTCCATTGTAATTTTGTATGTCCAATAAGAGGATGATTAAGACGATAAGGTTCCGATAATGAATTTGAATTAAAATAATCTTGTAATCGACAACATAAAGCTCGACATAAATGACCATAATGAAATGGAAAACCTTAAATAAATATATTTCATTTTATATTAATAATAACAATTACAAAAAAAAAAAAAAAGCAAAAACTCTCATATACCAATTGTAATAGAATGCAGATAAATAGGTTGAATTATATTTGAAAGAAGTGCACCTTGTATACCCAAAACATTCCAACTAAAAATTTTATCTGAACATGACATATGTCGAACATGTTTACCATTTGCAATAGCATCAAGAGATAGAATCGTATGTTTTGAATCTGTTGGAATTGTTCCTTCACCTTTAATTAGTTTAATATTATATAAAAGAAAAAGAAAAATAATTTCAATCATATATACAAACCATTTTCAATTTTCGAACGAAGTTGACCTTGTACACGTGCTGTTCGATATAATTGATGTTCATCTTTTATTGATGCTTCAGTTATTTTATCTCTTGGAGTAAATAATGCTGAATCACCACATGGTGCAAATGATGTATAAAAATGAATACGTATTGTTGATTTCAATATTAATTTTTCATTATCTGCTTTTTCAAATATTGATTCTGTATTTTTTCGAAAAGAATCTAATTGTCCATATAAATATCTTAAAAAAAAAATAATAATATACAAAAAATATTTCAAAAATAGATTAATATTTACAAACCTGATAAAACCTCGACGAGCTAATTGTTCAGCATGACTATCATGAACAACTAATCCTTTCGGTGATAATACTGAACCACCAGCACATTTATTACCTATAAATTAATATTTAAAATAATATATTTATAAAGAATATTATTCTATAAGATATAGAAGAATACTACGATTGATATTTTATATCATAATTAAAATATGTAAGAGGTATAAAAGCCATTTAAAGCTATCACAATATGAAATATAATATGATCTCAAGTACGACGCATCAGTCACTTGAGAAATAATAATTATTCAATATCGAATAACTGAAGTAGAATCAAGGACAAATGAAGTACACTCTAATAATACGAAACTACAATAAAACTTGGTAGATTACATACACAACATTACAAATATTCTATGTACGTTATCGAAATAATAGATGTTGTCACAAACATGCAACCTATTCTAGTTTCATTCTAGTTGATTATAATTAATTAGGGTATATCAAAAACAGTCGTGGATGTATTTTAATTCTGTATAAAGAAAAAGCCTCAGTTCTCATCAAAAATTGATCTTGGACTAGGTACATTCAACTTGCATGCAATTGTCAGGACATGATGGGGCTGTAGTGAAGAGTCTATACTAAAATTTTCAGCCCTATATAATGGTGTTTTTTTGATAGATATTCAACAAACAAGAGTCAGAAATAGCTCATATATTAACTCAAAATTTTCTGTGAGTCCTCATTTTATAGAATTAATTTATTTTTATTTGAAAGAACATGTCAGACTGTAACACCTGGTAGAAGTCTTTTTTTTCAATTCTCACTTTTTGTGCGAAGAAAAATGATGATAAATTCAATACCTCGAAAAACTCTTAAAAAATTGCTCATTTATAGAAGTGCTTATTTTATATAATTGTTAGAAAGCTTATTTCAAAACACGAACTTTATCAGTCACTGAGACTTTACTTGCTCGTTCAATTAAAAATAAAAGGAATTAGCTACATTGAAATTCCTTTGAAAAAACCTAGAATACTCGATCAAAAAAAGCATAAACAGAGAAAAAACAAAAAAGACTTCCTGCTTTTACTGAAAATAGAAAATTTTTCAAGTAGATAATGACAAAAATCATGAAAAATTCTTGCAAAAAACAAGCTACCGAATCAAAAATCATGTCGTTTATGAACGATTACACGTCAGACTATCTTCCTATGCATTTATCCTAATACCAATTTTCTGACAAAAATTAACTTTTTTTTTTTTAGAAGTAGGAAGCTTTAGTAAACTTTCACTCTACATAATCTGATTATAAAAATAATACTTTACACTTCTATAATATTTGATCATCCTTTACCTAATATTTTAATAAGAAAATTTCGATAAGAGCTGTTTGTTATAATATGTGATGGTAATATTAGACTACACTTTATCTTTAATGTGTATCTTCTTCTTAATATTTTCTTTCTCACTCTTTTTTTTCCTTTTTTCTTATTTCCTCTAATGCCTATCTGTCTACAAATATAAAGAAATACAGAAACAAGTTCATCAAGTTTTTACTCATTCAGTTCTCTCGATCAAGTATCATATGATTTTTAATGATTTGATTTAATCAAACAAAATCTAAGCGATCATAAAGACTCAAAATCCATTTCATCATACTGCGAGCAAGTTCATGAAGTCCTAGAATACATGAAGAGTATAAAAGAAAAAGTTCGATGAATGGAAGTGACTGTAATTAATAAGAGCAATTATTGCGAACAGTTAATAGAGTAAAAAAAATGAGTCTCTTTCTGTAGTTCTTTTTTGTTCTACTGCTACCACTTTTTATATACCTTAATATTTATAGACAGCTACGCATGCAAGCAGACGAGAAATATAAGTAAGAAAAAAAACAAGAGAGAAGAAGAATAAAGAGAACATCAAAAAGAGAAAATATATCAAAGATAAAATGTAATCTAATGTTACCACTACATATTATTATAAACAGCACTTATCGAAATTTTCATTATTAAAATATTAGTTAAAGAATGATCAAATATCACAAAAATGTAGAGCATTGTTTTTATAATCAGACCATATAGAAGAAAGAAAGATTCTATATAAGAAATCAAAATACCTTCGCTACTACTTTCTAATATGTTCTAAGTATGTAATTATTCGAAATAAATTAGTAATATCATCTATTATGACTTTTTATACAATAATGTAGTTAACGATTATGAAAGATGCTTGAATAATTCCAAAAATTGTACGTTATGAGAGTTAATGCGCTTGAATGATTTTACTAATGATGCTTAAAAATATATATCATCCATTAGAGTAGAATTGAATGAAGTCGTCACAAAAAAGGTAAAGAAAAAAAAATGAGAATTCATTTTTCTTCTATATTTTTACCAGAGGAAATAGAATCTAATTTCCAGGATTGATTTTTCACAATGTTTATTTTTCTTACCTGTTGCTAGACTAATAACAGTAAATGTTTGTTTATCAGTTTTTTCTAGAACAAATCCAGCAAGAACTTTACAACCAATAAGTTCTAATAGTACACTAATACATAAATCTCGATATGTTGATAAAATTTCCGATGCAATACGATCAAACAATGTACAATCATTTTTTGTAATAAATCTCTAATAAAAAAAAATAAAAACGCAAAAAAAAAAGAAGTAAGTTTTTTATTCTAAATAAAATAAGAACAATATAATTTTACTTGAGATTGTCTTGCATCCAGTGATAATTGATAAAAAACTTTATAAGCTGCTTCTATACATGCATCACGTTTTGTTGATGCAAATTCAGCTGAAAATTGTCTATCATCAAGAAGAACAGCTACAGCAAAACTAAAAATTTTAAATAAGAAAAAAAAAACAAACAAATAAAAGTAAAATATGAAAATAATTTAAATTAAATACTCACTTACATGGGTTGATGACTTTGTCCAAATTGTGAAATCACTTGAAATGATAATTTTTGTCCATTTAATTGTGCATATTCATGCAAAAGTGATAGAGAATTTTTAGATAGAATAGTTATTGATGGATCTGCTTTAAAATCAAGTATAAAATCATCATAAGATTGTTGAACTGTTTGAATTTCATTATCATCATCATTCGTTAATATTCTCGACATCTAAATTATATAATTGAATAAATGAAATATTTTGTTTTAGTTTTATACCTGATCTATTTAATAGTTAGTTGGAAGAAATTCTTTTTAAATATCCAATCAAGCAGAACCATTAAAAATCTAAGTAATATGCAGCAAATCGATGTAAAAAGAAGAAAAAAAATTCAATGACATATCTGTTAGGAAGCAATAGTTTAAGAAAAAGTAATTATATTATGCATGTATCTTTATAAAAGATAAATATAGCTTCAGCAAATGAAATCAATATTATTTTTCTTGCTTTTTATATGCAAAGAGGTATGTTCAGATTTCCAAAAAAGGAAACTATCCAAATTTCTGAAATTTTCATCAGCTCGATAACTATATAGTGGTACAAATCAAAGGTTTTTAGACATATTGGAAATTTCAGAAATTTCAGTAAGTACATAATTACAGAAATTTTTGAAATTACATCACTTTAGGAAGTAACGTAAAATTCAGAACACAAATGCTTGAAATCTTCGAAACTTATGAAATTTCCTTTTTCAGAAGTCTGAACACTGCTGCATGCAAATACTATTTATACTACGGAAAAAAAGAATTAAATACATACTTATAAGTCTATTTGGATTTGATAAAAGAATCTGAAGTAAAATTTTTATTTAAAAACATCTTTTTTACTTTAGTTCAAATGCATAGTATACTGCTGTAAAGTTGTTAAAATGCTTTCTTATAATGCAGGATAAGCGAAATGAAAATAAAATAAAAGAAAATCGAAATACTTTTATATGAGTATTTCCATCAACAAAAAAAACCAACTAGTTTTTATATATATATATATAAGATAAGTATACAGAGATAAATTTTGTCATTGGTAAACCGTTTTACCCAAACCGCAATAAAGAATACATATATCCAAAGAAGAAAAACAAGAAAAAAAAAATGAAGTCCAACTATTTGCTGGAACACACTGTTATGCTGAATAGAAATTGACAACCATAGAGATGAATGCACAAAAGAGAAAAAAAAAACTCTACAATGTCTTTAACAACAGATCGATTGAGATAGAATAGTTATCAGAAAACTAAATTTTCATTATTGTTTGTATTTGTGGAATGAAAAATAGGATTAAATTGAGATGGACGGAGTCCAAAACAAAACAGAAGAGAAGAAAAACATTGACTTTCACCGGAAGATAAATAGCAGAAAAAAAAAAGAACAAAAGTTTATTATTATTATCTTGAGATTTTTGATAAGCTTCGCGGCAAACATTTTTGTTGTGAACTACTATTCGAACGATGTACACTTGCACTATCATCATCAGTTCGTACAGATAAACGATTCAAATAATATGGTCGTTGATTTAATTCATTATAATGATGTTGTGCATTTAAAATTCCATTACGAAAATGATCTTGTTCAAATATTCGTCTTCGATATTCTTCTTTGACACGTGCAGATTGTGAATAAAGTTTTTCAAATATTAAATGTAGATCATTCGGTCGAAATAATTTTATAAGTAATGCTTCAAAAACAATATATATAAATCGACGATTAAGTGTTTCATTTTGTAATAATTCAAATAAACATAATAGACCACGACGAGTTGTTTCACTACCGATTATATGACGAAGTTCATCTAAACAAACAAAAAAATCAAATATGTTTATCTACTTTTCATTTTACCTGAAACAATGCCGAGTAATTTTGCTTTGCAAAGAATTTGCGTTACATTGCGTACACTTGCATCACGTTCAGGTGCTTTATCAGCTAAAATACCATTGGGCCAAAAGTCATCTCTATTCAAAAGAAAAAATTTTTTTAGCTATCAGAAAACACCTCTTTTTGTTAATTTTATAATACTTAAAACGGATAATTTCTTTAGCAATTTTTGGTGCTGATGTCCAATGTTGAACAAACGTTGCAATACGTCTAATTAAGCAAAAAAAAGATTATAGAAAAGAGAACTAATATGCAATGCAAAAGTCTTTAGAGAAATGTCAAACTCTGTTCTACCATATTACCGACTTCTAAATCAAGGAAATTGATTTTTGCGCGAAAGAGCAATATTTGAACTATAATTTTGCACCAGACATATTTTTTCCGAACGTAATTGACAAGGAGGAAAAACTCAAGGCCAAACATCTTGAAAAGGAGTTCTTATAATTTTACTATCAAACAATAACATTTTTTATTTTCTGTTAGTTTTTTTTTTGTAATCAGAAAGGAAATAAAAAGAAAGTATGTTTAATACTACTTTTTGTAGCGTAAACAGTGCTTTTTTCAATGATGTATTAGAAGTTAAATTTATTCTTGACTATTATACTAAAATATAGCTTTTTCACGAAAGAAAAAGTTGACTCTGTGGTAGGAATGCGTCAATTTCCAAATCCAGTCAAATCCTATTCCAATTCTTGGTTTGGATTTGGTGCATTCGTATTCTGTGACATTAGAATCATATGGAGTCATTGAAATCACTCGAAATCAATAAACTCATTAGAATCAGCTGCTTTTTCCTTCAGTAATTCTTTGAGGACATCTCAAATCACTCTTTGCTTTCATTTCAATGATCCAGAGAATCGTTCTATCTAATCATAATGGTCAATATTAGGGTGATTGGTCAGTTACCGTTGCGTTACCAGTTACCCAATAACAAAGAATTCGTGAGTTTATCAAGGAAAGGTTATTTTTCAAAATCTCTAATACTTTATAGTGTTTGTTCAAAGGTTTCAGAGTTCGAATAACACGAAACTGTAATCGGTTTCTCAATAACCTTTCCTTGACCGAGAAATCAAATACACGGTTCAGAGAAATCGATTACAGATTTTTATTCCTCAATTCCGAAAACCTTTGATAGAACTTTATAAAAAAAAATCATGATTTTACTTCAATAGCTATTTCCTGACAAAAGAATTAAATCCACGAAATTTCGGTTCTTCCCTTTACTCGGTAACTGATAACGTAGCGGTAATTTTCCATCTCTATTCCAATGGCTAGAATCATTGAAATCACTCGGAATCAACAGAATTGCGAAATTATCTGTTTCCCTCTTGAGTTTTTTTCTAAAAAAGACTGAGCAAGTTGGTTGTTCTTACTATCTGACTATTTTGCAACAGTAAAAAAAAATGTTTTTTTGAATTATTTTCTTTGCTATATTTCTATGACCTGAAATATTTCGAATAAATAACGCAAAAAGAACTCAACTCATGCATAAGTTCTTACAAAGTGATATATCTTGGAAAAAGTTGTAATCTACAAAAAGTTTTTTGATTAGAGAGTCAGGAGCAAACCTAACAAATTTTTTGCCAGAACTAATGTCAATAGAGTTTTTGATGCGCTACATTTTGGTATACATTTATTCTAATTTGATCCATTCATGTAGCTCAAAAGGATTCAGGAATACAGACTTTTCAAATTGAAAAGAACGTTGCAAGAACTTTTTTAAAGATGTTTGGTTTTTGGATTTTTCTCCTCGTCAGGTTCGTTCTGAAAAACTGCGTCCGATGCAAAATTTGTAGTTCAAACGTTGTTCTTTCCAGCAAAAAAACGTTTTCTTGATTTAGAAGTCGGTAACATGGTATAACAGAGTTTGACATTTTTTCAAAAGATTTTGCATCGCATATTGAATAAATAAAAATATATACCGATTCACTGAATCGCCCATAAATGCTCGTAAAAATCGTTTTAATATTGATACAAATCTTGAACGAAACCACATATTTTTTTGTTTAAGATCAAATACTTCATCCATGATGACAAGTAGAACACGAAGTGGAATATTTTTAGCACTCTATAGTTACCAAAAAAAAACAGAAAATCGAGTATTTTTATACTAAAGAAAAAATAAAAGCTTTTATTTTACTTCAGCTTGAGATTCTTCAACAATAGGAAATGTTTGCATATCTCTTGTTAAATGAATATTTGCTTGATTTTGATTATTCGACTGTGTTCGAAAAAGTTTTCCTGCATTTTCAACAACACTATCCGACACAATTGTTAATCCATCACCCAATTTCGATACACCTCTAGCAATACCAATTGATGCTTGTTTGAACGGATTTACAATTGTATCCATCTAAATAAATGTTTTAAAAAAATCAGTTTGAAAATAAATACAAAAACAACAAAAAAAAAAAGACCATATCGTGCAAAGCAATAAAGAAGTGGGGAAAGCTCTTTTTTCATGTAATGTGCATATGCAAAATGGGAATATTTATATTCAAGAAGAAGAAACAAGTGCAAACGTAACCAACCGTAGATGCGATAAGGTCCTATAAGAAAATGATAGATATTTCATTGGGAACATCATAACAATGGTTTGCTTTTTTCATATCAAACATCACGAAAGAAGAAAAACATGATACAGAAGTATAAATGATCTTATCGAACAAGATAGTGAATAATTGTAAAAGAATAACATATGTATTATCCTATTCATTTTACCTTTCGAATAAATTCTGTTTGTTCATGTTTCCATTGTTGATTCTTTAAAAACTTCAATACAAGTTCACTAATCTGTGGATGACTTTGAAGAACTTTTGTTTTCGTTAATGTCTAAAAGAAAAATTCATTATTCAAACGTAAATTAACAAAAAAAAAATTATCTTTACTGATAAATAATCATTTAATTCTTTTTGTCGTCTTAATCGTACTTCTGCGCTTGTATTATTAATTAAACTTTTATTAGGTAAACGAAGAAATTCACGTAAATCTGGATAACGTTTTTTTATTGCTATATCAAGATCATTAAATTCACTATAACGACGATATGTTATCCATTCACGTCTTAAATCATTAACACTATTGCCATGAACATGTAATGGTTTACAAGATACAGATATAACATAGATGGCATATTTTTCACCTCTTTCACAACATACACCTGAATAAAAATATTTATTTAATATTTTTTCAAAAATTTTTATCAAAGAAGAAAAGCTTTTCTTCTACCCGAATCATTTATTTCTGTTGTAATTGAATAATTATTTATATTATCAAGCATGTCGGGTACAATAGAAGTTGTACTACCAGAACTCGACGCTGAAGAAGGAGAAATACTTGAATTATGTTGTTGTTCAGCAAAATCGACAGAGATTTCATTACTATTATTACTTGATACCGAAGCAGCATCTGATTTGAAATAAGAAAAAGAAAAAGATCAAAAAACAAAACAAATAAATAAATATATACAAATATATTTTTTTGTTATTTAAGAAAACAAACCTGAATTATCATTTAATGAATCAGTAGGGTCAATTTCACTTAAAACTTTTAAATATTGTGATGTTGTTTTAAATTGTCCATAATATTTATCCGATGAAAGAATTTCGAAAACCTTTTAATTAATAATTACTAATAAAATAAAACTCAAAAAAACGAAAACATACTTTTGTTTGAAGTTCATCAAGTAATGTTTCATTCATTGATTCTGTTCTTAAAATTTTTAATGTTTTTTGTATGAGATTTTCATCCATTGGTAATTTAAATGTTCCCTAAACATTTTTATACATTTAAAATTCAATATTTTAAGCTTTTCTGGTAAAAATTCACTTTTTTTTCTGTAAAATTAATCAAATCTTTAATTTATAAAAAACAAATCATTTTATCACATTTACGTTTTGATTCTCAAAATGGATTTCGCTGAGAGCTTTCTCATTATTATTTAACATATTGAATAATGTCTTATTCCATTACAAACCAAAAAGAGAAATATTCTCTCGAGAAAGTTGAACATCTTCATGTGCTATAGTTGTGTCATAAGAAAATGCTAGTGAACTATTATGACTTAACTAAAACTAGTACTAACTCGATGTGATTCAAATTTTTTGTCTCCATATTAGGGACCATTGTAATCACAATGCTAGACGAATTTCAGTTCCAGACTTTAAACTTCAGTCATAGGAAAGAAAAGGTTAAGATCAAATTTTTTTTCTTCTTATCTATATCTTTAGAAACAAATAGTTATAATCAATATTTTGAACATATCTCAAGCATAAAAATTAAGTTTTCAAAAATATAATCATACATTCTGATAATGCTCAAACTTCACCACAATCCTGCATATTCAGTTTTAAACTTATATTTAATTGCTAAAAAATATTTCGGTTACAGTGAAGATACTCTCGTCTCGTTCCTCGCGAAAATCGCGAACGGGAACAATATGTTTAAAAAATGGACATTCACGAAATTTATTTTGTTTTATATATATATACTCTCCAAACTTTGCTATTTTAAACAAACAATGTCGAAGTCAATCCGATGTTACATCGTTAAGAAATAGAGTTTGACATTCTTTCAAGGCCTTTTGCATCGCCTATTAAATAAAAGAAAAACAACAAATATTTATCAATACAAACTTAGATAAGTTCATTTATTATTCATTAATTTGTAATTCAATTATCACAACTACTATTCTCTTTATGATTATCACTTTCGAAAGGACTATTATTCAGATTAGCTTACAATAGAGTATTATATCTATTTTATTCTCCTAAATTTTTTTGTTTTTCCCATTGATGTTGTTGACGTGCTAGTATTTTTTTTTCTATTTTCAATTGAAGAAGGAAATAACTCTCTTAACGTAACGTTGATAAATTTCGACGTATAAATAATAATTGATTTACTTTACTTAAATGTACCTTCAATGATAATTGTATGTTTAATTCAAGGTCATCTCAAAATGTGCAAAGTACGACATTGACTGAAGTTAGTGTCTGGTAATAATACTTTTTCTCAAGGACAAAAAATGAAATCGTAATAGGAACTGTGAAAGCTTGATGGGAATGAGAATCGAGAAAAGTCGCTTCCGCAGGACACTAATCTATAGTTTCATATCATCCGAGACAAATATAGCAACTTTTGTTCTGTTATCTAGTTATCATACGACTTATATGAGTAATTGTCTGCTTTTGAGTCATAATCTCACTACTAGAGAGTGTAGAGTTGTATAACTATTATACAAAAAGAAAACATGTAATGCACATACTTAAAGAAATATAAAACGGAATTTAAGGATGTAGGTACAATAAAAAAAGGTTTAATATATTTGCCAGTAAAAATAAGGCAAGTCGAGACTGACAAGATAGAGCATGTTAGAGAGTTTAGGGCACTATCTGAATTTATAATTACTTCTTTTTTTAAAAATATTACTGTAATTAAAATATATTTTAATCAAAAAAGTTGGAAGAAAATATTTTATGGAAATCGGAAGACAAGATTGTCATCACTGCAGTCGAAATACTTTTCAGTAAATCAATGTAAGTCTAAAACTAAATACACAAGGTTGTAGAGAATTCTGAGCGTTATCAGAATATATGATTATTCTTCCGTAAACTTATTTTTATACTGGAAGTATATTAAAAATACTGACTACGACTATTTATTTTCAAGAGTATATAAGTAATCCGAACTGAGATCAACTATTTTTTCATGACCCGATCTGACCCAAGTCGGAGTCTAGTATCGATCACTCTCCTTTTTCTCTCGAGAAAATCAATTTCTCAATTCTTCTTTTCTTCCTTTCATTTCATAGTTGGAAAAAAGAATATATCCCTGGCATTTCACCGACGTTCTGCAATTGGAACAACACAGTTATGTAATAGAATTTCTTCTTGTTTGTCTTTCTTTTCTTATATATAGAACCGGCAACCTATATGGGATCATTGAACACACAGTAGACTCGTTATACATCGTCGTCCAAAGCCAATAAAGAAAAGTCGGTGGAATAGAAGAAAAGATCATACAATACATAACTTCTTCTTTTACTTAGCTTTTCCGCGCCCTCTTATAAAACTTTTAAATGGAAAAAACTTTCCGAATGCCTTTTTAATCTGCAAAACGTTCAGACTTCAGATCTATTATGAAGTCCAAAACTTTTTTCATAATCCGATCCAATCTGACATGAACTATGTTTTTTTGTGACTCGACCCGACTCGAGTCGAACACTGATAACTTTTGAAATTATTCCACAAAAAAAAAGAGAATCATTCTTTGAAAAAATATTGTCAAAACTCTTACTGTTGGAAGAAAATATTGTTCAATAAGATCATAGGCCATATGTCTAAGTATTTCTAAATTAGTTTGATGTTGTTCATGTGCTGTATTTATATTTTGTTGTTGTACTGATAAACCAGCACATCGAAATGCCTAAAGAAAAGCATATTCATAGAAAAATAAAATTTTCTTCCAAATTATTTTTTTTTTTGTTTTTATACTTCAGCATTAAGATAAAAATTTGCGTAGCCAGCAGCATCAACAGTTTGCAGAAATTCTACAAATACAAATAATTGTTTATTGAATTATCAGAAGAAAAAACAAAAAAAGAAATTCAAAATATTTACTTAAAAAATAATCTAAACCATTACAATTATTCAATATTTCAGTTAATGGTAAATCATGATAGGTCACTTTTTGTAAAAGTTCATCATCATCCTATACAATAAAAAAAATAATTATATTCTAAAATAATCTAATTAAAATAAAATATACCAATGTCATTGTTTGTGCTTGTTTTTCTAATCGTTCAGAAAGTAATTTTTTTAAATATTGATAACTATTTAATGTTGCACGAATATCTGCATCTAAAAAACAAACAAAATATTAAAATTTATATTATGAAAAGAATTAGAAAAATTATTGAAAATAACCATTTTCTCCTCCAGTATCTTTTGAACGCCATCGATTTATTTCAATAGCAATTCGATCAGCTAATGTTGATAATTCAGCTCGTGAATCAGTAGTTCGTGTAACAAGAAGAAAATTATCGATTGTTAATGGAAATTGTTGACACTAAACATAAAAGCTGTTAGCGTAATTCTTGCGGCATTAAAATATGAAATGCGATGTAGCTACTTTTGCTAATCACAGAAAGATTGTTTTATTCTATCTATTTTGACATATATTTCTTCATCATTGTTTCACTTGAGGCTACCTGCCCTTAAAACGAGTCAATCTTTGTCAGAATTATCAAAATTAAGATCAATGCATGAGACGATAGCTCGAGGCTTGATCTTTCATAAATGCCATGATTTTTTTTTTTATTCGGCACTTCGTTTCTTTTACGACAATTTCTGATGATTTCTGTCATGAATTACTTGAAAAATATGCTGATTTCAGAAAAAGCGGAAATTTTTGTCGTTTTTTCTCTATTTATGCTTTTTTTGATTGTGCCTTCTAGGATTTTTGAAGGAACTTCATTGTAACCCATTGCTTTTATCTTTTTTATTTGAACGAGCATGTCGAGATGCAGTGCCTGACAGAGTCCGTTTATTGAATTAAGCGCTTTTATAATTATATAGGAAAAGCACTTTTATAAATAGATGATGACTTTTTATTCTTTCTCTTTGTATAGAAAGTAAGAATTTAAAAAAAATGACTCTTTCATGCCTTGCAACCGGACTTGTTCTTTCACACACAAAAAAAAAATAAGTATATGAAATGAAAGCCTACAGATAGTTTCAAATTGCCAAATGAGTTATTTTTGACTCTTATTAGTTGAACATATTTCAACAACTTTATGACATAAGACTGAAAGTTTTACTATTACTTCTTCACTGCAGCACTAATATGTCCGGAAAAAATTCATGTGATTTGAATGCAGCTGACTCAAGATCAATTTTTGAGAGTAAACTCCTTAATTCTTCAGAAATGCAATAAATAATTCACATATTATAACGAGACGTTATTCTTATACGATCTGTAGTTGTATATCAATCATGTCTGTAAATAGTTTGTGTGGAAGGTTCAAATCTTATATCACTGTTTTTTTTCTCTACTTTTAATTACCATTTTAATAATTAATTGATTGACAGCATCCGGATCTGCATACATATCAATAAAAGGTATTAAACCAAGATTAACTAACACTTCCTTGAAAGAAAAATATAATCAATATGATTAAAATGATCGAAAAAAAAAATCATATACTCTAAGTAACATTCGAGCTGGAACCGAACGAAATTCATTAGCAGGTAATAAAATATAAATTAAAACTTCAACAATATCACGCAAAAATTCTACGAAAAAAAACAACAAAAGATTTATTTTTGACTAAGTTTATGTTACCTTTTTCTGCATCTTTATCCATACAAACTTCATCTCGACAAATTCCTCTTTCATATTCAGCTTCCAAATCAAAAAAGCATACTCGAATATCTGTCGATTGTTCTAATCGCATACGTTCTTTAGCTTTTCGATATAATCGAACATGTGTTGCAAAACTATCAACAACTGTTCCAGTACAAAATTCTAACCAGTCTATTTCACGTAATCTAATCAATAAGAAAGCAAAAAACAAAAAAAGATATGATTTCTACTAAAAACTAATTTTTTTAATTAATTAATTAAACAACCTTTCTGATAAATGTTGAATTGTTATATAGATTCCATTTTTAACATCATGAATAAATGATTCATCAGAACTTAATTGAGTTTTATACCAAACTTCAACATAATCACGAACAAATAAATCAATTCCCTATAAAAATTAATATGTAAAAACAAAAAAAAGAAATTTGTACTTTAGAGTTTTACTTCATAAAGTGGTTCATCAATAACAGGTATTCCTGTTAATTGTACACGATCATTCAAACGTGACTGTGTATCATTATCAATGCTATCAATCTATAAAAAATTAGAAGTGTAAAAAGTCATTTTTTTAGTTTTTGAAAATCTTACATGTGTGATCGATTTTCTTTTATTAAATGATGTTTTAATCGTTCTTTGTATTAGACTTGATTTTAACCATGTTGATCGATGAATAGTCAGATGAAGCACAAACCTATAATTAAATAACAAATATAATTGAAAAAACTAAAAAAAAACTAAAAAGTTAATAGAAAATTTAAAACCAACCCGAATAAAAATGTGATGAAAAATGAAATCCAATAAATTGTTGTTTTAATTTCAATAATTCCCCACAATATCAAACAGGCACTGCCGATGATAAGATGTCTGGAGATCATCGACCGACATGCAAAAAAAAACCAGAGAGAAGAAAAAAAAAACGATTTAATTATATTATTTTGATACGTTTTTTTATCGTAAACAACAAAAGATAAATAATATTGATTGGTTAATTTATCGAACAATAAAAATAAATTCTATAGATAGAGCTACATTCTTCTTGTAGTTTGTAGTGGATAGATAACAAAACTTATTCTTTTGCATCATAATACAAATGGTAACTATAAATAATGATGACAATTATGAAAATGAAAATATATTAGTTATTGATAAAATTAAATTATTATTTGATCGTTATAATCAAAAAAAAATTAAACAAAAATATTTAAAACGAAAATTAACTTCTTATGCAAAAACATCCGGTTTTATAAATAATATCTATCGAAAACAAGCATGGAATTTATTAGTTCATACATCATCTGATGAGTATACAACAGGTATAATAAATTTTTATTTTATTTTTTATTTCGTTTATTTTAAATTGTCAATAAATAGATATAAATCAAATTGAATCACATCAATATTATGAACAAATCAAATTGGATGTTATAAGAACATTAAAAAGATTCCCACCAAGTATATATATATATATATTCAAAAATTATTTATCGAATTTTATTTTTGTTTTTTGAGATTATTCTGATTCTGAAAGAAGTGAATTACAAGATGAACTTATTCTTATTATAACAAAAATTTTAATTAAACATGAAGAACTACATTACTATCAAGTTAGTTATTAATACGAAATATTCTTCTTTTTTTTTATGCGATTTTTAGTGTTGATTTAGGGTTATCATGATATTTCTTTGACATTTTTACTTGTACTTGGAGAGGATTTATGTCTTCCTGTGATCGATTCTATTACAATGTCTCATTTAAAGTAATGTTTATTTACTTTTTTTTTGTTGTTGTTTTGAAAGTAATATACGATTAAAAAATGTTTGAAAATTTTTTAATTAGTTTAAGTGTTTGTTATTTAAAGAAACAAAGTTTAAGAGCACAAAATATGTATTTTATGAATAACATGACTGTTAGCATATTAATAATTAACAAAATATATCATCGGACTGAGTGTATTGTAGAAACTATTTTGCAAATGATGAAATAATTCGAGAAATTAAATTGTAAATCTTATTAAGAGATTATTCGATGGGATTTGTCAAAGTATGTTAATTCATCATCACGCTATAATAGAAGATTTTTCTTGAAAGAATGATGTGCAGGATGTAAGAGAAGATTGCTTCCTTCCTACTTAATTAATTAATTTCTTTAAACAAAAATGGAACTTTAATTAATATACATATATCAATATATGATTTAGTTTTCAGAATTTTTGTGAGTTCACAAAAATCTTAAAAGATTCAAATCAACTAAATTATGAAAATAAATGAGATACAATAGAAGACCTAGAATCTTTTATTATGGGAAATGAGTTATTAAAAACATAAAAAGATAATATATTTTGAAAATTATTTTCTTGATAACATGAAATTTTATATCAAAAAAAAAAAATGAGTACCTCAAACCTATCTAAAGAATATTCTTTTAACTTTATTAATAGAAGATTTCGACTAAGTGTATGATTGCTTTCAGTTCAATGACTCGTGAGAATCATGCCAAAGAAAAAATTACTTTTTAATGCTTCTCGTGTGAATCGCCCATCAATTCTCATTTATATGACAGGAACTGAATAATCAAAACCAATACTGTTATTTGATCGAGAATTGTCATACATCTCATTTGAACTTATTTTGCAAAACAAATTTGCCTTTTTAAATAGTTCATCAATTGAAAATGATGGATTAGTATTCTAATCTTAACATTTTCAATTCAAGTATTAATGAAAAGAAAATTTGATAAATTTAAAAGATAAAGTTATAAATGAAACTGAAACATCCAATAAATCTATATATAAATATAAAAAAAACCAATTAGAACTATGATAGTCGAGAAAACTATTAATGAATCTTTTCTCAATCTTTAAATAATTACGAAAGTCTTTGATAGTGTGAAACTATTTTAAGAAAGTAGATTGTATATATTTTATTTAATAAATGATAACTTTTCTTTATAGATATTTTATGGAACCAACAATGGAAAAAACACGTGATTCATTGTTATATTTAATGCCACTTATTAATTGTATCAATAGTGAATGCGCAGAATATATGGAAAGGTAAAAACGATTGAATTACGGCTTATAAAGTGAGTATTTACTGTCGTTCTTGTATTTATAGAGGTGATGTTGGACATGTTATATTTGCTCTACCATGGTTTATCACATGGTATTCACATGTATTAGATGATTTACCTGTAATTCTTCGACTTTATGATCTATTTATTGTTTCACATTTTCTTATGCCAATTTATGTCGCTGCTGAAGTAAAACAAAATAAATTTTCTTTCGAAACAAAAAAAAACAAAAGAATTTCTTTTTTTGAAATTTAGATTGTAAATTATCATGCTGATGAAATTTTATCAAAACCTTGTGAAATGGCATCATTACATCAATATTTATCTTATTTACCTACTGAAATAGATGAAAATACATGGGAAGAAATTATTAGACGAGCTCTATATCTATTTGAAAATCATCATCCAGATACACTGGAGAATTTAAATCATGAATGGAAAATAAAATGGTAAAATATTTTATATTATATCTTTTAAAAGAAATTTTCTTTTTTTTTTAAATATATTTAGTGAATATATTGAAAATTCTTCTAATAAATCAATTATTCGACAACGTTTTGATAAAAATAATAATTATAATAAACAAAATTTATCACAAAAATCAAGTACATTATCACGTATTGCTTTTTGGGGTGTAACATTAACAATCGGTGGTCTAGCTATTTATCTTTGGAATCAAACACAATTATTAGATTCAACTAAATTTATTAATTTAGGAGATTTTCTTACTCAATTGTATCGAACACAATAATATTGCATAAGTCTTTCTTTTACATTCCTATATTCCAGTTGAACTGTTAATTTTAATTATTTAAAGAAAAAAAAAAAAAAAACTATTCATTATACTGTTGAAATTTTCTTTTTTTAGATGAATTTTCATTTTAATTCATTAGACTAATGAACAATTGGTAACAAAAAAAGAAGCAAAAAAAAACGTGGTAAGTTATGTAAATTATTTTTTGAAGATTTTTATCTTGACTTTTATTCAAGAAAATAAAATTATTCAACATGAATGATTTGATCCTAAAAATAAATTATTTCATATGAATAGAAATAGTTATTGTTATAATTATTCTTATTATATTATTTATTAGGTTCTTTTTTCTTTAATAATAGAATGTGTCAGGTTTCTATGAAGCTTTCTTTCGGAAAGTTTAGAATGATTACATCCCAATTGCGTCGTTTTTTTTTATAATTAATCTGATGATACATAGAAGTTTTATTATAAAATTGAAATATTCTTCTGTCGATTTATTTTCTTTAGACATCAAAATAGAAATTTTATAATTTATAGTTATTACATCGAAAAATTGACTCTAAAACTTTTGTACTCTTCATCTTGTTTCATGACAATAAGAACGTCATAAGCATGAAAAATGACCTTTTTTTTTGACAGGAACTTTTGCATTTTCGTTCATAGAAAGATTTATACTCAAATTTATTTCCATTTGTATATGTCACTTGAAGTCAAAGATATAAATACAAAAGATAAATTGTCTTGTCGTGCTTCATATTTTTTATATCGGTACAGTAAGTCTATTGTTAATTTGACAAAGGTTTGTATATTGAGGCAAGTGACAGAAATAGATTCCATTAATTAAGATAAATCGATACTGACGGGTAAGAAATACGATGAAAACAATCATATTACTGTTTTTATCTCGAGTGTTAACATATTTTTAAATCTGAATAGAATACCATCTTTAGATTATATTATATTTGATGATGACTGGTAATGTTTGATTTATTGAAGATAAAAAATTTGAATTTATCCTTATAACATTTAAAGAACAATGCAGAAGGCGTCTTATAAGTATTTATTCTGTATGAGATTATAGATCTGTTCTATTACATTTCGTAAAAATAAATCGCTTTAATTATCGATATTTCTCTCGAGGTTATTAAACGAGGTTTGTCATAGATTTTACTGTAAATCTTCTATTCAAAAATTGGAGTTTAATATTAGAATCTGATATAAATTACATTTTAATTTGAAAGTAAAGATTTTATTATTATTGATTTATCTCAAAGAAACAATTGCATTTATTTCTTTGGTTTGATAGATTCTTATTTATTAAAATTTCTGAATTCAGTTAGATGTATACTACAGAATTTTAGAAGTACATTTTCTATATGAATATTCAGAGATAAAAAAAATACGTTCTTTGTCTTTTCATTTCGGAAAACAAAATCTATTTAAAATCATGTAAATTCTAATGAGAGAAATTTTGTTTAAAATTTATATTATGTATAAACTAAAACAAATTTTTCTTTAATAAAATTATTCAATTTTATTAATCGTATTTATTTCTGAATAAGACAATTATAAAATGAAATTATGATACTTCAAAAACAGAATCTATTTTAGAAATTAAACATAATTTTCAATGATTCTTATATTATTACTTAAATATTTGTTTTTTCTTTTATGGATTATTATATTTATTAAATATAAATTTAGATAAAAAAAAAACAAAATATTATTTCGATTACTTCAGTGTAACTATTCTCATCTAGATGTTCTTCTTCAGATGATACAAATTCTTAAATCAAAATAAGTCTTTTGAAATAATTTTTGTCGCGAAAAAAAAAAATTTCTTATTATATTAGATAAACATTTTATCTCTAATTCTTCATCATTTAATCGTATAATAACCATGAAAACTACATAATCCAATATAATAGATTAGTATTGACCTTGATTATTAATCATACCTTATGATTCAGAAGGCGATTTCTTTTCTCTGCCTTCCTGTGAATATTCTCCTGTGCTATTCTTATATATAAGTTGAGTACTATTTAAAAT